CCCGCTGATCCCGCGTAGCCCGGGCTGTTGTGGTTGGTGCTTTGGGCGGATTGGTTGCTGTGGTTGCGGCGGGATGACGACCACCTCCCTCTGGCATCGCCCGAGGACCTTTTGATCGGCGGCGAGGGCGGCGGCGTGAACGAGGGCATTATATTGTAATCATTGTTGATCCACGAACAAGTACAGCAGTAGTAGTAGGAGGAGCCGGCGGGGTTAGGACGGCGGGGTTGGGATGAAGCATATCTCTAGTTGAGTTCGTCCGCGCGAAGCGGGAAGGGATGAGGATGGTTGTTCGCTCGCGGGTGTGTGGCATGCACTATTTGCTGGCGTATGCATACTACTACGTGTGCACGCTGCACACGTATATAAATGGTCATTTATGTGTGACAATAAGGAGACAGGTTGTACATATCATAGAGCGGAGCAAAAAAGCGCTGCGCACACTCTTTTGTCATGTTTTGATGCAAAATGGTTGAAAGGGAAAACGAACGAAAAGAAGCTGCTCCTCCCTCCGCGATGGCTCTACTAACTACTGCTCGTTACACCCAGCAGCATTGCAGAGAGAAAAAAGGGCCGGATGCTGCCGGGCGGAGGAAAACGGGGCGTGTGTATGCTCCTGCCATGCAACGGACACACCACAGGCGCATGGAAGTCCCCCCTTCGATGTATGCTTGTTGTTGCAAAAAGAAAGGCGGTCTCTTGCGTATGTGCGTCCCTTCCATATAAAACAACAATGGTGTGGGGGGGAGAGAACGAATTTTCTTTTTTTTTTCGGGCCAAATGGATCCGATTTCGTTCGGGCGTCTCAGCGCTTCCACCACCACCGCTGTGCGGCCATCTCTCTCGTGCCTGCACGGCCCTACAACAAGAACAGAGTAACCGGGTTTTTTTCTCTACACCTACGTCTCCTCACCTCGTGAAGAAGCGCATCTCCCGGGAGAGCAACCGATGATCTCGGCAAAACCGTCAAAGGAGGGGGAGAGACTTTTTGAACACCTAAATTGGCTGGAACCCTCCCTCCGTCCGCTGTTGTGCGACCAAGGACCAAGGCCTCGGCAGCCGGCGGCTCCCCTCCAGAGACAGGGAAACACGAGGGGCTGGGAGCCACCACTCTCCCAGCTTCTGCTGATGCTTCTGCTGCTGTGTCTGCGACAAGGAGAGGCAGCAAGATCCCGGCAGGCTGCTGCTTCCGCGGTGTGTGCTGACATATAGCAGGAAGCGGAAGAGTCCAAACGCAGCTGCGGCAGGCATGGGGGCACCGCGGCTCGGATTTCTGAAGTTGCTCCACCCCTACGTGTGGTGTTCCTGCTGCCACGCGGTACAGGTATCACAAGCAATTGAGTGTTCCGTATTCCAAACCAACGTCAACAGCAGGCTAGACTTCGCCTACCTAGCACACAGCATGATGTCTTTCCTGAAGGTGCTCTTGCTGGCCCTGGCTCTCGTGGCTAGCGTCTTGGCGGGGACGACGCCGGTGAGAACTCAGATGAGCACTCTTTTTTTTTTTTGCAGCAGCGGCAGCAGCGGCACCAGCGGCAGCAGCGGCAGCAGCGGCAACAAAGAGCTGCGGTGCGGAGGGTTGGACGATCTTCTTCTTTCCTCCGGCACCAGCAAACAGGCCTTGGTGCCACCTCTTGGCCGTTCGCTCTTGCCCTGTTGGCGATGAGAGCGCACCCTTGTTTTGGGCGCGCATTATGAGAGGTGGTGTGTACTGACCCTACGTACCTTCCTTTCCTGGGAGTACAAGGTGGATTTTGCGGGAGATCTTATTTTGTTGCTGAACACGATCATCTCTGATCTCTTGGCTTTTGGAGAGGAGACAGCAGTTTGCCACCACACAAGCTGCGGCCCCTGCTGTAGGCCGGCAGTGGCTGCCGCTCCTGTAGCAGTATCAGCAGCTGAGAGCTGCTGCTGCTGCTGCTGCTCGGTTGTGTTCCTGAGGAAATTGGGTGGGCGGTTATATGGCGCGTCAAAGCTGACAAGGCTGTCTTGTGCTTCTCATCGACGCCTTTGCTCTCTCGATGCCCTCGACAAACAAGCTGTAGTCTACGCAACACGCACCACGTGCGGGGCACTGGTTTAGTGGGTGCTTGAACTTCTCTTGTGTGCGGTACCGGTTGCTTAACGTGTTGCGTTGCAGAACTATTAAGGGTTGGGTTGTACGTTAGCTTCCATGAGAAAGGGCAGCATTCAAATGCACACACGACGCATCGGTAAAAGCCAGTTACAATGCATTTACTGCTTGTAGATCTGCGCTCCTGTACATGCACTTTCGGACGGAAGGCAGGATTGCCCTCAAAATTACCCGCATGAACAACCGGGACATACACATGGCATTCTGTTGCCACAGCAAGGAAGACATGTAGGGTATGCACATCACGAACGCACCCAACAATGCTGGGATGCGAATACAGAAAGCGCTTGTTCGACAACCGTATGCCATGCTTCAATGTATACTACATACGCGTGCAAACCTCAAAAGACGCATGTATGGATGGATCCCGTGTTGACCGCGGGCGTTGCAGGAGGGGAAGGCGTTCCTCGCCGCCAACAAGGACAAGGAGGGCGTCGTCGAGACCGCCTCTGGCCTGCAGTACAAGGTCCTCAAGTCAGGGGAGGCAGGGGGCAAGACTCCCCTGGTCGGCACCAAGTGCTTGTGCCACTACAGGGGTGAGCGGGGCATTGCGGACAACGGGTTTGCGACGAATACGCTGTTTCATGGTGTTCCACCCAGGGTTTTCTGCCACAGACCAACTGCCCGTCGTTGTGGGCCTTCGTCCGTACTGTGTACATATGGACGCCAGTCTTGGAAAGTGAATCGCCCAACACGAGTTTTTCCACAAATCTGCTGTTCCCTGCCTGGACCGTGCAGAAGCTGTTGCCCGTCCCCAATATGACGGTCCTGCTGTGCAGTCTCTAGAGGAACACCCGCGAAGTGTCGGACAAACAGCTAACAGCTCAGGCAGTGTTTGGGAACAGGCAACAAGCTGACACCCGTGTTCGAAATATATACCCAGCTGGCAGCAGCGTTTGGGAATAGACAACTAGCTGGCAGCAGCAGTGTTTAGGAATAGACAGCCAGCTGACAGCAGTGTCTGGGAACAGGGGGTAGAGAGGCGGAAGTAATTAACCCACCCATGAAAGACTTCTAGTGATTCAGCTTCTGCGACACACCGTGGGAGCAAGAAACAGTTTGAGTTTTTCGACCCAGCCTCGGTACCCTTACATGCAACGGGCGTCCCGAATACTGAAGAGCATGTAAGGCGACCTTCCTGACTTGCGGTAGATGTTGGGGAATCCAACCTGAGTCCCCGGGGGACTGGTGGTATCAGGATCCCCGAGCTCTGCTTCTGTGGTGCGGTACTTTGAGCAGGAGGGTCACGGGTGTATGTGGTGTGCTCTTCCTGCTGCTACTACCGCCGTTGCCCCTTTTCCCCCCTCCTGATGGAACTTGTCAACCCCTCGCGATGCTTTCCATGCTCGTTCCGCCGTCCTTGGTGCTGTGGCATCCGTGTCATATTGCCGCTGCTTCTCCTCCTCGCTATCGGCGTCTTGTTTATTGCTACATCAGTAGTGGCTTGTATGGTCCAATAGAGTGCTGTTGGCTTCAAGAGATGGTCGGAACAAGCCAACCACGCTGTCTTAAATCCGTATTTTTCTCATGGTCGGGCAAGCAAAAAACTGTTTGTTCCAATTTTCCCCTTGAATAATCTCTGTCAGACCGTAACCGCTGCTGCTGCCTTCTTGCTGCTTGCGTGTGTATTTCCTCCCCTCTTTTGAAAAGGGACCACCATCACCGGAGAGGAGTTCGACAGCTCCTTCAAGCGAGGAAAGCCGACCGCGTTTGCGCCCAACCAGGTACATCCCACACGAACAAAGTTAACGCTGTCAAGCTACACAAAAGCTCTGCTTCCCACTTGTAGTAGTCAACGGCCACTCTTGGCCATTTTCGTAAGACAAACGGTAGGATCGCGCGGCTTTCTTGGGATAACGCAACGAATTCATCGCTTTCGAAAGCGACCTGCGTCGGGCGGAATCACTGGTGATACTTCACAAACAGCGGCCCTCGAGATTGTCGCGGAAGGGCTCTCGGGTTGTAAGAACATTTGTGTGGCTTACGCCGTCCGAAAAATGTAACCCCGCTTGCTGAACGCAATCTTGATGCAGGTGATCAAGGGCTGGACAGAGGCTATGCAAATGATGAAGGTGAGAATGTTATCATTGGATATGGAAGAGTAGTCAATACCTTTGTTCGGGTCGTCGCGAGGAATCCCAGTAGGACTGGCTTTGGTTCGTGCATGTCGGTGAAGGTATGAATCATGCCGACCTGTCGGACATGGGTTACCCAAGCAACAACTCGAGCGTATTTTATCTTTTCGAAGCTGCACGTTCTTGGTTGACGTCCTTGGCCTAGTGCCGAATAACACAACGGACACAAGAGTCGAACATAAAGAGGTACGGTAGGCTTTCGTGGGCACGCATGGCATTTTTTTTTTGGAGGGCTCGCTGTCGCCACCAGTACTTGTGTATCCTCTTGCCACGACTGAACTTGAAAACGCGATGTTTCGCTTCGTTGTTCATGTAACCGTCGTATCATATGTGTGCTGCTGCCCGGATCCGTCCCACGAACTGCAGGAGGGCGACCACTGGGAACTCTACATTCCCTCCGGTGAGATGAACAAGAGGTGGACGGGGGGCGCCGTGAATGTCCCTCTAGCCACGGCCCCCCCCAGTCACCAGGCAGTCAGTCGCTACGCTTGATCCTCACGGGTTGCAATAAACGCTTCAGTAGGGTCCCGGAAATGATGTGGCCTCCGGGGTTATGATGGACGATGCTGCCTCTGCCTGCTGTGTGGACTACAGGTGCTGCATGCCCTCTGGTTCGGCTAGTAAGGTGCACCTTTCCGCTCAAGGAAAACAGTACCTCCACAAGAACATCCGGTCACTATGTCTTTCTGTCCGGCTAAACACTTGCTTCGTTTCTGTAACCATCGTTGTTCTCGCCCCCCTCGCTTGACACGCAGAACTCGCCTACGGCGATAGCAAGCGATCGGCGCTCATCACCCCGGGGGCCGTCCTTGTCTTCGAGCTCGAGCTCATTGAAGTGCAAGGGCCTGCAGCTCCCGTGTCCGCCGAGCTATAGGCGCATCGACCATGCGTCCAACACGGACACGCGGCAGTTATGTAGAATCTAGCAAGCGAGAGAGGCGTTATATTTTTGGCGTATTATCGTGTTTGCCTTGCAGTTGCCTAGACGGTTGAGAGCAACAAGAGGGGAACAGACAGCTACGTGGCTGGGAGCTTTTGGCCAGCCCCTTCCTGCGACCAGCTGCGCAAAGTTGTAAATGACGAAAAGTAGTAGGTCGAATCATGTGGTCAAAGACAAACGTCATCAAAGACAGTCGAAACGACTTCTCGGAGATTTCACACACCTGTGTGTGGAATCTGTGCAGACGTTTCGTCAGCAATGGGACCATGGACAATGACACGCCACCGGACACCGGGTAACCCAGCGTCCCGGGCGCAAGGACTCAGCAAATGCTGATGCTGCTGCAGAACAATCTTCTTAGGACCTCACAGTTGACGCCTTGACTTGCTCACAATGTCACTTCTGAGTGGCTCCCCACACTAGGAGCCGAACCGAGAACAGCAATTTACTTTCTGCGTGGTGCGCTGTGGTCAGAGTAGGGTAAGGATAAGCGAGCAGCTCAAATCGAACCGGACTGGGAACAAGGAACGTCCGAAGGGCTATGTGCGTCAGCCGCGACCAAAATGTGGAGAGGTGGTGGATGACAAAGCTGGGACGTGAGAGCCGGAAAACCTGAGATAGATGTGTGGTGTACAGCGATCGAAATCTCTTTCGGCGAATGACTATTTCTTTAGCGATTTCACGACGAGTTCTCTGCCAAACCAGGCACTTCTCGTCAATCAAGCCAGCAGCGCGTCACGCAGGCGGTAATTCATCACCTCTTCCCCCCTTCATGCAGCGGAAACATCAATTCACATAATCAATTTAAGACGTCAGCCACAACCCCGCTGAGGGGGGACGATTCCCTCCCCAAACGATAAATGGTGTACTCGAGGCAAAACGCTGTTCTAAGGCGAGCCGCCTGCAACGCGTCACGCAGGCGATAATTCTTCACCTCTTCACCCCTTCATGCAGCGGAAACATGGGATTCAAGACATCAGCCACGACCCCGCTGAGGGGGAACGAAGCCCTCTCCAAACGATGAATGGAAGATCAATTCAAGGCGAAACGCTGCTCTGAGGCTGGACGCCCCGCGAAAGGGCAACCAAACCCGTTCGTCAAAGCAAGCAGGCTTCAGGCGAAACAAAACATAAGATAACAGGAGAGGCAAACTCGCTGTAAATGGGCATGTACCAGCCCGTTCAGACGCAAAGCGTCCGATAAGCCGTGCAAAAAGTGCCGTTTGAGGTTCCCCCGCAATTTTCTAACGCTCCGACCACCGGGCTTTCCGAACGGCGTAGTATCACACGTGCTTGCCTCAATTCCCGCTAACCATTCCATGTGCCGGAGCCTCTTCTGTGTGGCGGCTGCCGGCGACGACTAAATCAAGCTACGGCAGCGTTGCCTGGAACCCCAGCTTTGAGGCCCAGCAGCATCCGCCAAAGTGGAACCGCATTCCCCCCCCCCCCCTGGTGCCCCATCGGCANNGGGCGCCCCACCGGCAGCAGCTTTCCCTCCCTCCTTCTGGGAAAGTAACCGTTATTGCTGCCCCGACAACCCAAAACGCCACACGAGAAGGGGTTGCAAAACGGTAGGGTAGCGCAGGTAGGGTAAGACAGCAGTTGTCGTCGCTCAGAGGCAAGACTAAGGACGGAGGACTCGAGGTATGGAGGACTCGAAACGGCTCCCCTTCCGCCGCCATACGATGAACCGAACGCCTCTTCCGAAGACGTCATTGCCGGCGGCGGCGAGGACGGGCAAAAGTTCCGCAACCGTTGAAGGACCCCCCCCCCCCACGCCCTGCGTCCAATGCCTACCACCGGCAAGCGTGGGCCCACGCACCTTCCTCTTTGACTGGGCAAAAAACGGTGCGGCGTACTGCTGTGCTCCTACCAAAAATCATGGTTCGTCCTGATTCGAAGCGCAAGGGTAAAAGCAAAAAACGCACTCCGGATGGCGCCGGGAAATGACAATACAACATCACCCACTCACTGTTAAGATTTCACCACATCCCTTTCGACTGCGCTTTATGTCTCGAACGGGTTGATGTCTTTCTTCGATTGCACGTTGTACATATTTCTAAAATCACCTTGCTCGCGGCTGCTGCCATGTCGGCGTTTGCCCTCTCCAATGCAGACCTCGTCGCCGGGTTCGCCAGCATCCTGTCCACCGCGGCTTGCGGGGGGTTGCGGATGCGCATGTCGCGGTTCAACAGCCTGGGGAAAAAATAAAAAAACGCAAACGGAATAAAGAAGCACCGCAAAAGGTGTGAAACGAACAGGGAAATTACCAAAACACACCCGCTGTTTGAATCTATAGAGCAGGTCGAGAAAAAGGACTGCGTGCTCGAGAGGTGGTAGTGGTGTGTGCGGGGCATCGTAAAAGAGAACAGGGCAGGAAGACTGGGCCCATACCAATGGCTACGGGAGGACCTTCGGTAGCATGCACGTCGGACATGGCTACCAAAGCCAGCGGTAGTTGCTACCCCCTGGTTGCCTGAAACTCAAAAATAACCCGCCACCCTTCCTGCTCAAGAAGTGGTCTGGTTGCCTCGTTGTGCTGCTATTCCCTTGGCCGTAGGCATTGTTCGCCGCTTGGTCAGGGCAGTTCATCTGCTACCTCTCCCTCGGCATTGTACGCTATTCAGACACGGCTTCAGTTTCCATGTAGCTTCGTCCAGCTTTTTGTGGTTTCTCCTCGTCCCACCATCTTGTTTGCGCGTGTTGTGGTATTCCCGGCAATCATCGTTGGAGCCTTCACTGCTGGTGTACACCATGTGCCCTCATCTGACCGGATATGGGATCCCTTTGGCGGCCGATTCCTCCGCAGGAATCCATTTCTGATACGACCACAGGATACCAACCATGAGTTCTTCCGGCTCCAAACAAAATAACGGCTGGTACACAGCACCTTGCCGTTGGGAAAGTAACCGGCAAGTTGTGAGGTCGAGCTATCACACTCAGAACGCGATCGACCCAACATGGTTGAAAGCGGTAAGGCTGCCACGTCAGATGATGGATGTGGCGCGGCGAGGTCGTGGTGGCGGAGAAGCCTAAGGCTAGGCAAGCCAACACGCCGTCCGAATCACCATCGTGGAAGGTTTGAGTGGCGGCCAACAAATTACCCGCCTCGTCATCCCAAGCCAACACACATCTACGCCGACTGTGCTATTCCACACCCCGCATATTACTTCATCGGGGTTTGGTTCAGAAGGAAGCTCACGAAGCCTTCGCCCTTCCAGCACAATTCTGCGGTATTTCGCAGAACGTTCGATCGCCTCTGCCTTACGTTGGGTACGCTCCATACTTCCGTGCTAATTCGGTCGGCGTGTGTGTGTGGCTTTCCGCTTGCTCGCCGCCACACGTCCATCCGCACAGGTGAGATTACGTGTCAGCCATGCTGCTTTCAACCATACTGGATCCGTCGCGTTCTGAGCGTGACTCGTATGTCGCATACCTCACAACACGTCGACTGCCTTCCCTGCGGAAGTCTGCTGTGTGTCAGCCATTGTTTGCTTCGGGCGGGAATAACTCATGGCTGCTATCCTATGGCTGGGTCGGAAATGGGTTACAGCAGATAATATGGCCGGCGAAATCGCGTCCCATTTACCGTCACATCAGGGTACATTACCGCAATCAGGGTACGATTCTGGAGAAAAGTTGCCGTCGCAGGGTGTACCCCGGGCTACTTGGGACACGGCGACACGGCACGATGAAATTGGACGTTGACCAATCGGCTGGGCTCATTTGACGCTGCCAAACTGTCTGCACCAAGCTGAAAGTCGTTTTTCGACCCCGGGGTACAATATATACCCTGATGTGTCGTTTGCCGTACTTCAAAACATAAACATGCCTCCGAGTTCGGCCGAAGGCGGACGTCTTTTCCTGGAATTCAACGATTTCTCTGAAGATAAACAAACGCACGGACGATTCCCTCATTTCACGACGGCGTCGACGAAGAGATGTCAGAGTGCCTAATTTCTTTCGGCGCTGTGTTTTATCACAGGAAAATTTCTGCGCTGCCATCCCACGATCAAACTTTCGTCGAACGCCAATGACAAAAGGCTCTGACATCTCATTGTCCACGCCATCGTGAAAAGAGGGAGTCGTCCTCGACAGACGTTGGGGAGATTGCACCTTTATGAAGGTGGTCTCCACACTGAGACTGGCTTCTTTGCATAGACCAGCCGGTCAGCGCGGTCGATGCTAGCAACAAAGACACAGTTCACATGGACACCTAACCTCCCCCATGATGGCCCTGTGAGTACACCCCTGTGAGTACACCCCATGATGCCCCGCTCACGGGGCCCCAGATCACGACCTTAAGAAACATTTCCCGTTCTTGGCCGCAATGAGACTGACGTCTTTTGATTGGTCAGCTGGTTACCGCGGTCGGTGCTATTTGATACACACACACAAACACACGGACGGAATCCCAGATCATGGCCTCCAGGAAAAGGTTTCTGCTTTCAACCGCACTGAGACTGACGTCTGTGTGCGCGTGACGCCTTTTCATCGGCCAGCTGGTTGCCGCGGTCAATGCCAATAACCGACACACACACACGTTAGCGTGGGGGCTTACATGTAATCGAAGTCATCCAGGCCGATGAGCCTGTCCGTGCGGCCGACCGTCAGGTAGTTCGTCAACGACATGAGCCCGGATACGCCGCCCATGGCGACCGTGATGATGGCAAGCGGCGGCGCGGATTGCCACGGCATCTTGGAAGCGTTCTGGTGGCATCGGGGAGGGGGAGGAAGGAGTTAACGACGGATAGTCTACGCGGTTGGAGAGGTTGGGTCAGGCCTACATAATCGAACACGGCAATGTTGGGCAGGCGCGTAAGGCTTGAATACGATGCGAATCGAATTTTGGGTGCTGCCTACATAACGAACTGTGAATTTTCGGGCAGGACTACATGGTTACAGAAGCATACTTTGTGCCAATGTCAGGAGAGAGAGAGCGGGAGAGAGAGAGAGAGGGAGAGGGAGAGGGAGAGGGAGGGGGAGAGGGAGAGGGAGAGAGAGAGAGACTGCGCAGTGTGTAGACACCCTACATGTTGTAGTAAAAACAGACGACTCCAACGTAAACCCACAGCGAGCGTAGTTCGGGAAATGCACGAAGAAGGCCTGCTGTAGGACGTACTTGTCAGACAATCCTCCCGACAGATCAGCGGATCAGTGCATGCATGTGGGCTCTCAGTTGTAACATACTGAGACTTCCTCCGCAACATGGCACGCGGGCCGGGGGTGGGTGCACCTGCTGTCGTACACATGCGCTGTAGAGAAAATGTGGGAAGGCTTCAGGACGTTCTGCCAAACGAAGACTCACGCAACGGTACACTCCTGCACCAAGCGATGGATATGTCGGCAAACTCCACGATGGAGCAGTGGGCTAAACGCCACGTCTGTGCATCAAAATAGTAGCTGTGCAGTCGTGTGTAGTAGTGGGCTCCGGTCCTGCACAGGGGCGTGACCGAGTCGAAAGGACCTACATTGTATGTGGCACCAACTTTGTAGCTCGCTGTTATGCAATTTCAAGCGGCAACATTCCCGGTGAAATCGAAAATGGTTTGAAGGTGTTATGCGCACGCAGGTGATTGCAGCTAAGAGGGCCTGCGAGCCTGCGATGCCTCGGTGCTCGCACCCCATGGACAGGGACTTGCGCACGTTCGACGTACAGGGGGTCCGTCTGTAAAAAATTCAGCCCCACCATACTTCAACCGCAGAAAGGGAGGCGCATCACGCCTCAGATGTACCACAGGCGATGTAGTGACTCAACCGTTGCACTCACTTGTCTTTGCTGCTGTGCTTCTCTCCCGCGTCGCAATGGGCACGTTTGTTATGCTGGCCACGCCGTTTCTCTCTTGCATGGGGGCATCACAGAGTGCTCTCTTTTGGCGAGGGGATGACGCGGAATCGTTAATTGCACCGCATCGAACTAAACTCTGTCAATCTGTCAATCTGCCTTTGCTTCTTGACGCGGACACAGACGACACCGCCTGCCCGCACGAAACGGGCTGTGATGATCTCACTCGAAGACCCAGCGGCGCTCTGCGGGTGAGAGTATTTCTCGATCGTGCCCCTTTTTGGCCAGTTGCAATGGCTGGGATCCACCAATATCGTTCCATTGTTGTTGTTGAGTCGAAATGTTCTTTGCCGCTCCTTCTGGCCCCATGGACAGCGGCCGCATCCAGCCGGAATCATGCGCGGCATGCTGTCGCAGCAGGTGGCCTACATGCACACAGCAAGGCTTCGTCGCCGTTCCAACAAGTACCCCCGCCGTCCCCCCTAACCGACCATCCTCTCGACCTCTCTGTCTCGGCTGTTTGTGGTCCAGAGCTGCGGCGGCGGTTGGGGTGCCGCTGCTCGTCTGGGCTTGGAACAAGCACGTCCGCTACTGGTACTACGCGGCATGGCCCATCGCCTACCCTGGCGACGTCGTGCCCAATCGCCTGGAGAGGAGGTGCGTGGCAGGAGCAGAGTCGAGAGCGTGCCGTTTGGGAAATGACGTTTCCCGAGATACCCTTTTAGCGTGCTGTCGATGAACGTATTTATCATTGGACGGGACGGTACATGTTGAACCGGCCGTTCATTGCCGTTGTGCCGTTGCAGCAGCTCGTGCACCGTCGACAAGGGAGTTGCGCTGCGTACGGTAGTAGCATGACGACCGACCCCTATCAACTGGCCTCTTGTCCCTATGTGTGCTAGTGTCCCCCCCCGATGGAACCGGATCGGTGTGGCCAAGCTACAGTAGTACACCTTGTCTACACGACGGCGGTTCGTTTTTTCTTTTTTCACGCAAAGCGGATGCTGTTCGGCTCTGCTTAATGCCTACTTTATCAGATTTCAGACTTCACTTTGTGACCCAACGGCTGGTGGGTGAAGCCACGTCGTCTCCCCCGGACATGGCACACCTTCGCCCCCCCGCTCTTGCCCCCCCCCGCTAGTGATTCGGATTTTGCCATCCCCGTTGCCCAATCAGCATGGCGACGTGTATCTACGAATGCAACCATGAGAATTCCAGCGGGGAAACTCGACGGGGAAACTCGATGTTTGTGTTTGCGGCCGCTAGGAAATTTCAGGGAAACGGCCGCGGGCTTTGACGCCATCCGTGACTTCGTAGAAACCGGGGAGATCTGCCCGCGATGTGCAGTAGCTACTCTTGAGGCCCATGATGTTACGTCCGTGGATATCGCGCCCACCTTGTATCTGCACCCCGCCCGATATTGTTCTTGCGAGGGTGCAAGGGAGGTGACCGCCGATCAACGACATGTGTTTCCACGTGGCAAGCTCTCGACGCGACACTAGAAGAACACCATGTTCGCCAATAGCGTATTTACGCAATGCGTAGCTCTTATGCGACACAGTCCACCTAATGTTCTCTCTCTGCCTGTCTCGGTGTCTGTATATATCTCTGTTTCTCCCTCTCTCCCTCTCTCTCTCTCCTCTCTCTCTTTCTCTTTCTCCCTCTCTCTCTCCCTCTCCCTCTCTTTCTCTCGGTCTCTCGGTCTCTCTCCCTCTCCCTCTCCCTCTCCCTCTCCCTCTCTGCCTGTCTCAACCCCCCTCTCTCCTCGAAGGGGCCGTTGGGAGGACAAGACCAGCGCGCTCCCCACAGGATGGAAGTTCTCCTGCGCCCGAGAATCCCACCAGCGAACCGAGGACAGGTGGGCCGAAACCGGGCTCAAGCTCACGGGAGAAGCGGCCGGAAGGCAGTCGTGGCACTGGTGTGGGACAGACGCCGGAGATGACGCGTCGCTTGGTGCAGCAGATGACGCGCCGACCTTCAACCCATCGGTCAATCCCAACTCTGGCGACAAGATTTTTCGGGCTCAGCAGGTGAGACGCGACGGGTATTGGCGGACCGCCTTCGCGAGAAATTAAGTTACTTGAGGAAATAGAACGGGGAGGGGGGTACGCAGACCCCTATTCCCTATCCCTAACCCTAACCCAACTTCCCGATTGTATGCTTTGTATGCTTTATCCAATATGTTTTCTTGATCGATAAACCCTGAGAAGGGTACCGGGGGTATGGCGGGCGGGGGTTGGGTGTTCTCAAAAACCGTTTCTTGACGGAATAGCATGGGTTGTACCGTATCGCAGAGCCGAGTATCTCCAACGCGGTTTGCGTAACTTCGTCCACGTCCCCGCTCCTGGCCTTTTGCTCTGCAACCGGTGTGTTGTGTCATGTGTGTGTCGCTTCTGCGTGCGGGAATTTTGATTAAACCGTCACGCGCAGCTGCGGAAGTGGGAAGGGCCGCGGCCGGACGAGACGGAGACGCCAAAGGACGCGTTGGGTGCCGCCAAGAAGGGCTTCGCGTTTCATCAGGTGCGTTGTTTGTCGATGTTGACGCCGTCTTCGCCGCCCTCGTCGTCATTGCTTTTGTCATATTAATAGCTCGTGTTGTTGGTGTTGTCGTCGTCTTCGCCATCATTGTTTCCCTTGTGGTCGTCTTCGCCGTCGTGGTTGTTGTTTTTGTTGTTTTTGTTGTTTTGTGTTGCTATGAGCGACTTCATCGGGATACGATCGACCCTCGTCAATCTGATTGTGGCACGTGGCTGCTGAGCGCCCACTGGTCCTGAACCATACGCTTGCACATGCGGGTCATCGAAGCTCGCAGCGCTTGTTTCGAGAGCACCTCGCGGGGATGTATACGTAGTAGTGAGGCGTGGCTAGGAACTGGGGTGGGCATTGCTGGTTTGCCCGGCACACACCGAGAGTACCGTCGCCGCACACAGCACGCACGGATCTGTGTGTGCTCATACTGTCTGTCTGTCTGTCTGTCTGCCTGTCTCTCTCTCTCTCTCTCTCTCTCTCTCTCTCTCTCTCTCTCTCTCTCGTTGTGTCTGTCTTTGCCGCCGCGCCCCCCCCCCCGCAGATGCTGCAGTGCGACGATGGCCACTGGGGAGGTGACTACGCAGGGCCCATGTTCCTGATGCCCGGTTTGATCGTCGCCTTCTACGTCACGGGGACCCCGCTGGGAGAGGAAAGGAGGGCGGGCATGGAGGCCTACCTGAGAAACCACCAGCAGGTGTGTTCCTCCAAAAATGTTCCGGGGAGTTTCCTAATGCTGCTGCTAGAAACCTCCAGCAGATTAATTCCTCAAAAAATGTTCCAAGAATATTGCCGCCGTCATTATTCGTTTGTGGTGCTTTGGTTTCGCCGGGACAATATGTCGAAAACTATCTCGTCCGCAGCAGCAGTAAGTAGCTCCAAGAAGAGCTTATCATCCAAAACCCAGGCGTTTCTGTCATTTAATAAAAAAACAACGAATGTAAGCCACCATGAATTCGTCTATGATATGATCTTTCTGGTGTGTCCATGAGAGTTTGTACGACCTACAGAGAGAAACCTTGAGGACTTCGATGGAGTAGATGAAGAACACATGAGCATGTCTGCCCAAGAGCATGTCTGCCCATGAGCGAGGAACCAGTGATATTTTTTTGAGTTAAACTGCCCCTCCCCACGGGCAGGGTGTAAAGCCCCCCCCCCGCGGCTCTTGTAGACCTTTTTATTTTCTCTATCTAGATGCATGCCCGTTTCTTCTTTTGTTCAGTTGTGTAGGGCGTCGTCTCCCATATCCCGATCTTGATCCTGATCCCGGCCACGTGAAGGGAGGCCCTACGTGGTACGGTATGCCGGAAATGGAAACTGCCGACAGCAGTACTCTCACCCGTATGTGGCCCCGGAAGGAATTGAGTCTAACCCTATCACACCGCCGTGGTTGGGTTGGGAGGTTACCAACAGCGGATCCCCCGATGGTTGGGTGGTTCCCAACAGGTAGTGAGGGGATGGACGTCTTCGTTGCTCGTTGAAATATCATATTCTCAGGATTTTTTTTGGCAGATGCTTTTTTTTTTTTATATGACACAACGAATCCATCTCTATCATAGAAAAGAGTCAGAGACAGATTAGCAATCAATTCATAGCGTCAGAAAAGCTACCTGTATGTCTACGATTTCCCAGACAGCATATAGGGACATCCCCCTGTTTTTCTATGTATTTACTTGACAGGCCGACGGGGGCTGGGGCACCCACATCGAGTGCGCATCGACCATGTTCGGCACCGTCCTGTCCTACATCTCGCTGAGGCTTCTTGGGGTCTCCGTGGAGGATGGTGCTTGCGCCAGGGGCCTCAAGTTCGTGAGGGAAAACGGCGGCGGGAGCATGGCCCCTAGCTGGGCCAAGTTTTGGATGGCCGTGCTGGGGGTGTACGAGTGGGAGGTGAGGAAGGGGGGGGGGGGGGCGCGGTTTTACTAAGGAAAGACGTTAGTGTGCAGTAGTGGCCTCGCTATGGTGGCGTTAGCTGCCCGCCCGCTTGAACCGGCATTACTGCGGGCAACTGGCATTATATTATTTTATTGGCATTACATAGGTTCGGCCTGGACAATGCCGGCATTGCTCGGGGTATGAGGAGTCCGCTGTAATCTTCGTGCCGGCACTATTCAGGAAATGACGTAGCATCAGTTGCTAAATATCAGTACTACAGCAGTGTGTGACCACTAGTGACCACGATTAAGTTCTGCTCCCGGTGTTTGAACGTGCCGCGTTCAGCGCGATGGATTGACGAGACCCCCACTGCACGCACGCACGCACGCACGCACGCACGCTCTGCTTGATTGATTGGTCGAGCGCTGCGTCAGGGCATCAACTCCGTGCCAGCGGAGCTGTGGCTTCTCCCTCGCTGGTTCCCCTTCCACCCATGGAGGATGTGGTGTCACTCCAGGATGGTCTACCTGCCTATGAGCTACCTGTATAGCACCAGGTGTGTGTGTGTGTCTGTTTTATTGTTTGCATCCACCGCGCCACCCGTCTGACCAATGAAAGACGTCAGTCTCAGTGCGG